CTGCATCGGCCCCCCACCGCATCAGGGCCGCATCCCGCATTTTAAAACACTGGGTGTCAAGTGTATTTTTATGGGGCATTCACACTTTTAGAAGGGTTATCAATGCTATCTAAACACTTACATGTTAGACATCAATCATTTTTTAGGGAAGCACTCACATCATTTTGATGGCCATCCCTCCACACTTCTTTAGTGGAGAGCATGCCAAAAGCCCTTTTAGTGATGGTTGGGATTTGAATCTTGCCGATCCTAATCAGATTTTGAGGGAGGGTTGCAGGGTGGATACCCTCCCTGAATCGATAATCGGCCTTAATCTCTCTAATTTACCACATCATAATCTCTATAATTTACTATATTCTCCATTTTCCTAATGAATGTTTAATTATTTAAAATATAAATAATCAAATAAACATAGAAAAAATCACTCTATGCAACTTTATTTTTCTTTCCTTCACTATCCCCCCCTCCCCCCCCCAACGCACCCCCCGTTCTTTAATTTTTTGTTGGATCCTTGATTCGACTGATCTGGATTTTGCTACAATGGAGGGCCAATTCACCCATCCTTTTGAAAACCCTAGCGATGGCATTTCAAATAGATCACTCCTAACCACTTCTTGCCTAGACTCACCAATAGATTGAATCCCCTAGGGGGTTGCTTTGGCGCATACACATGGTGCTCATACCACCATATCTGTTATTTGAGGAAAGAGAAGAATTAAGGGGAGACATAGCTCTCATTCTGTGGCCCAAGTGTACGATGCCAATGATGTGTTAATGTGACATGTCCAAATCCTCTCCTTTTACAAAAGACCATCGAGGCAGTTGATTGCAATGTTGGTGGATATTAATTGCGATAAACCGTTGAATGGGGTTGGTGATGGAGGTCACCATGGTTGGGTATATGGTGTCCTCCGGGGATGAGCCCAATGGGGTGAGTATGGTGGGAAGAGTGTATTCATGGTTACCATTGAGCTGTTCATTTTTAATTGATCCAATAGTTGAGGGTGTTATAGGGATGATTGGCAATGAGATTGGGAGACAAGGGGGTTGCCCACATAAACACTAGATGTCATGGAGCTAGCTAGCTACCATGATACTCAAACCAAGAGCGTCTAGATTGTCAGAGGGGTTGAATGTTGCATCTAATACTATTAGGGAGCCATGTGTGATATTGGAATTTATGGAGACTTATTGGGTGACATGATGGTTTTTAGGGTGTCCAATGCGACCATCAATGTACCTTCAATGGGAGGAAGAGGACAGCTAGTAGGTTGAAGGAGTGTTTTAAAATGCGGCCGCATTGCCGCATATGCTGCCGCATTGCCGCATATGCGGCCGCAGATGTCGCTATGCGCCACCCAACGCATCGCACTTTCCCGCATATGCGGTTTGGAGAGATGTGCCCGCATCAGAGCCGCATCCCTCCATATCAGAGCCGCATCCCGCATCAGCCCGCATAATCTATCAGCCATTTTTTTCAAAACTGTACCCCTCGAGCAGGGGCAATAAGGTCATTTTGACCTTTGAAAATGGGGGAAGGGTTTGGAAGAGTATTAAACCACCTAAACAGCATTTTTCAGCCACATCCATGGACTTTTACTGGATCGATTGAATCAAAAAATATTTTGGACGGAAATTTTATTTGTTGAAGTTCTTCAATTTGTAATACAGATACCACATAATAAATGTTCATAAAGATAAAAAGTTACAAATCGAAGAACTTTTCCCAATACTTTTCAAATAAAATTTGTAACTTTAAAGAGTTTCATGGACTAATACAATAAAGTTACAAATTAATGAGTTTATAAATTTTATTAATCTCCATAAATGCTCTAATATCGTAAAGTTACAACATTTTTATAAATTTATAAAAGGTTACAAATCGAGTCGAAGAACTTCATGGACTTCATAGACTCTTTTCAAGATTAAAGAGTTTATAAAATTTGTAACTTTAAAGTTTTTTGTTGCAGATTTGTGCTTATGGTTGTTGATTGTTGAATGTTTTATGAAGCTAGTTTCAAGTTTCTAGTTTCTGTCAAGAGATAGTGGATACAAAATCTCCGATAGCTAATACTTTTGGAGTTAATGAATAATCTTAATACCTACTATCACATATATCACCTCCATTTTTTTTTTCGTGCACTAACCTTTTTTTTAGATTTTTTATAATTTTTTATATTTATGAACTGCATCGCCACGATGCACCCGCATCCGGACAGCATCGAGCCGCATAGCAGCATTGGCCCCCCCAACGCTTTTGGCCGCATCCCGCATTTTAAAACACTGGGTTGAAATACAATATGGGATTTCCCATTCTATAATGCCACTGTTGGAGGGGTCTATCAAGTATTGGCTGTACAGATGGCAGACTAGCTTACTGAATCTGGGACCTTGGTTTGCCAAGCTAGCAAATGGACACTTGCTATGGGAATGGATTTGAATTTGAATTTTATCATAGGGGAAGTTTGAATTTGAATTCTTGGGCTTTGAATTCAAATAGGAGGGAAAAATTTGTATTTGAAATTGACATTGGGACAGGGGATTTGAAGACCGGGGCCATTAAGATGTGATGGAGGGGGGAAAAGGGGTATATTGGGAAAAATGCTTTTATAATGATATATTATAGAAGAGTGAGTTTCCGAAAGGCGAGAAGATCAGCGGATGCTTGTTTTTTCTTTTCTTTTTTTTCCATACGGAAAATGACAAGTTCCGACTTCTCGCGCTCTAGTTGAATAGTAATACGTTGGGAACAATCTAATGCTTCTAGGTGATTTCCTAAGGTAATGGACTGGTTGAAGAGGGTCTTGTGGCCATGTGACTTCACATATGTGGTCTTAATAGAGCTTTTTAGATCGATAAAGATGGACTACTTGCAAGAGTACATGTCTATGGTGATAGATTTCGGGATTATGCTTGGGTTTGTGGAGGAGACAAATATCTGAACTATCCTCAACAAAAGGATTCCGAGCGATTTCCAGTTTACCTTGATGTTACATCCACATCTCTCACCAATTTCTTTGAAAATGTCTTGGTACCATGCATTCAATTGGATGTTGTAAAGCTCTAATCCAGCAGAGGTGAGAAAGAGATGACAGCCCTTTTGAACTCAGCAACTTTGAGGAGGAGGACCTTTTGGACTTCAGCATCTGAGACAAAAGAGGAAAACCCCACACTCTTAATTTTCCATATTGTATCTTGTCCTACATCCATGTCAATTTCACGCAATCAGTGATCCCTTTTGTATCTATTGTAGATGGATCGAACCTGCCAACCAGGGAAGTCCTTAGCAGTAGAAAGGGTATTGTTAATAGTTTCCCTAAAATATAAAGGGTATTTCTGTTATTTCGAGAGAAAAAATTTTGAAATTTTGACTAAAACGAAAGGGCATTAAAATGAATAAAGTACCACAACTTTCGCTCTATAACTACTCCTATCTTTTAGTGAAAATATCAATAATATCCTTTCTAATAACAATAATACCCTTGCTCATTTTATGGCCATGGAAAGAAGCAAGTAATTTAATTTTGATGGTCCATACCCTTTCCTAAATGCTAAAGGATTTCATGGAGTGCTGACCATAACAAACCTTCATGAGTCAATAAAATTTTAGGTCAAACAAATCCCTTGAGGTATTGATCCAACACCATTTTTTCTTCCTAAAATGCATGATCTGTGTTCTCTGCATTTTCTATCTCCTCAAGGAAACCAATTTCCAGTTTTTTTTTTTTCAAAATTCATTTTGTGGTCTTGTTTGCTGTGTCCAAGAGAGAGTGTGTACAAAACCTGAGCCCCAACAAATGCCCCAAAGGACAGACATTATAGCAGTCTGCTCTATGGTGGATCAAATCCTTTTTTTGGTTGGGTGGGTGGGAGTGTCTGTGTTCTGGTGGTAATGCATTATCGCGCCATTAGCAAAATCTACTAATCTAGTAAACAGCTAAAACTCGTACATGGATGAGTTGTATGACTACAGCATGCAGATGGTGCATACATCTTTAAAAGCTTCTTTAAACTGAACCCATGTAGAATAACTATTAGTTCCTTCTGAAAATTAAGTCAAATGAAGTGAGGAAGAGTTAATACAAATCTAGAAAGGAATGATCAAATACAAAAGCATATACAGGCAAACCATCTTCATGACTTTGACTCATAGTATTAATTCGTTCAAAATAGAAGACTCTCCATGCCCCTTTAGCTCCCAAACTTTTGCTTTATTTGTCCTAATTAGTATCGAGTTACTCACAGCACTATAATAATTTCCAGCATTGTTGCGAACTTGCAAGAGATTGTATTTTGACATATGGCTCTTTAAGTAAGAAACTAACTAAAAGCAGTTCCAACAGTAATGTCTTTTGTAAACATATGAACAATTGAAAGACATACAACAAATGCTATTTGACAAGGCAAGAACTTCAATACTTGCATTAGGAGCATAAAAACATTCATAATATTCTGATCCATAATATTTAATAATTCTCAGACACCCCTAGAGTATAAGCCCCTTTGGATGTCCTGGCAGTAATAAGAGAGCCTATCTTTACTGGGTATCAGGGCCCTTCATTTAAATAACCACCCAAGAATGTTGGTAAACAGCTGTGTTTTTACCTCCCTTATTTGGTCTCAGCCATAAAATAGGTTTTTCTCCTTTTACAGCTACCCTAAGCCCCCTGTTATTCGCAGAATTTCACCAATAAGCAGGGCCCCATTCCTGGAGATGCACCCGTGAATAGTGCCTTGCTACCCATTCTGGTGCAACTCAAGGGCAGTTTTACTGCTAACCGACAAAATAGGGCTAACCAAACACAAACTAATGTGTTTAACTACCCCAATAAAGCTCTGCACAAGTGTCTTTGTACTCCGTAGAAACTTTAAACTTTTGATATAATTAAACTACACCACTCAAACATTGATCTAACTAAATATTCAATTTATTTGGTGACATACATTGTTGAATGCCAGCTTTGAAAACTCAAAACTAAAACTATTGGACGCAAACATACCTTTGAAACCATCCCGTCAGCCCAAGTCACTTCGATATCTCCATCCTTGAGACCAGTTATATTGCCGATCCAAGAAAGGTCAGATTCATCAAACTTGTAATTCTTGTCTTTGTTGGTTTTCACCTCGTCATTTGTCTCCTCCAAGTTATACCCAATTCTCTCATCACTCTCAGGTAAAGTTGCATCATCTGCAGAGATCATCTCCTTTTCAATGGTATTCCCAGAAGGCGCCATTTCAGGGGTTACAGAGACTGGGGACAACCGAATCACAATATCTCCAAAGCAGTAGTCATAATCAGGATGTTGGCTAAGTTCATACACACTTACAACTTCCTCATTGTCAAACTCCCGAGGATCTTCTGGTCGGGTGACAGGCTTTAACCACCTAACACAAGCCGTCCGCTCCGTGGCATTCACACTTTTTACAACCCCCACCCGCCTAGATTCACAGAACCCCTCATCTTCATCAGTTGCCTTTTCCACCACATATTGTTCAGCAAAGAACTCATGGTCACCAGGATTATCAATTGGAATCAAATTTCTTGAATCTATGCCAAACTCTCTTGCCCCATCCTGCCAAGCCACATCAACCCTTGTCACTGTTTTAACAATCAATAGAGATCTTTCAAAAGTCTCATCTCTTCTTCGCGTCCTCCGATCCCGTTTAGCAATACGCTTACGAAGCCTCTTGCGTTGACTATGTGATCCCTCATGCACAGGCTCTTTGGAGATATGTAAAGAACTGTTGCAAATACTGGATTCAGGAAAACCATTTGAATCTCTAATGCTCGTACTATTTACATCCAAAGTAGATTTTCTCTCCAACAACACTGCATCAGAGGGATCCATTTGTGAATGACCATTTTCCTCTGAATGTAGTGGCGTTTCTCCCAAATCCACACAATTGAATGCAACTCCATTTGTGTTTTTTAGCATCGCTTCCTCAAGACCCAGTCCATTTGATGCATGCTGGTCTTCAGAAGACGATCCGATGCATTCTTGAAGTTTTGTGTCACAGGAGGCAGAATCAACATCTTCAAATGGTTTAACCAAACACTCATTTGGATCCCCACAACATGAGACAGGATCCTCAGTCGAGGCATCAGCATCAACTGCTGGTGCAGGTGTCCGAAGAAGACACCAATCACCCAACTGCCAGTTGGCATGGGAAAAACATGTCAACAGCTTCAAATCCTTTGGATCCTGCTCTTCTGGGGGGATATCTGAGCCATATCCACCAGCATTGGCAGCAGCAATCCAATTGACAAACACCGATGCAACCTGTACTTTAGTTACTGTACCTTCCAGACGAGTAGCCTTCCAAAACCCAGAAAACCACCTAGAGTTTTTGAAAACCGACGAAGAGCAAGCCCTGACACGCTGTCCTGGGTAATATGGGAAATGTCCATCCTCTAGAAGATTCTTAGAGATAGGCATGAGCCGTAAAGGGTCGGCCCTCATGACTTTGCAGATTGATCCATCATCAAACATTACAGTTACGTTGTCTACAACTTCATCTATTCTACCAAGCCAAGGCCCATGAAGTACATAGTCATCTACTGCAAATTCCCTAACACGTAGCAGATCTCTAGTTGAAACATTTTTCACAATCTCCCCTGAAGAAGCACATAAATCAACTTTGATATCAACGTCCACCACGGTGCCTGTTTGCCCCATGGGATCAGAAATGGAGGCAACAATGTCTCCATGCAAGAAGCCTCTATCGACAACAACAATGTCATCAATATTGTCTTTTGTCTCAGAATGATTAACCCAAACAACCCTGACTTGACCATCTGTTAGAGAGCTACAGCTGCCTTCTTCATCATCATCATCATCATCATCAGCATCATCATCATCGTCACTGATGCTGCTGTCGGAGTCAGAGTCACCAGCAACTTTAGTCACCATCCCAACCAGACCTTTATATCTATCAGATTTTACAACGTCCTGCCTATAAACATACAAGTCACGAGATTTATTTCCAAGAAACCCCACCGAATTCCCAGTTTCTCCATTTTCAGAATTTCCAGCTGATGCAGGAGCTGAAACAAAGTCATGGCTTAACAAACTCTCATTATGCAAAGATCCCATCCGGGCCACATTAGCATCCGTTTCAGAAGACCCAGTAGAATGGGGAAAGCTGGAATCGTTAATATGATGCTCAATGGCACCCATAGGGAGTAAATGACTAGAAATTTCCTGCCAGAAATCAAATCTCCATAAATAACTCAAAATGGACAAGCTTTTCCATACGAGCAGTAAATATGATTGGATTATTAGCAAGGTAAACAGACTTGCATCAGCTAATTCCTAAAAACCATTAAGGTATGTGTGTGCTTATGGGACCTCACCATGAGTGTCTAATGAGGACTGCTATATGTTAATGCAAGGGTCAAACTCAGTGCAGAAAAAAGACAAGTGAGTATTGCCAACCATTGCTATAAAAAAACAGTTCACATGTTTGTCATAATCAAGTAGCTTGAGAAGAACAAGCAATACTTTTTCCAGAACATACTGGTCAAAGTAAAGTTGTCCTCAGAATATGTAAAAGAAAAAATAAACTGTGGTAGAAAGGAGCCAAGCCTGACAAAACGTGGAATAGTGACAATTACCAAACATTTTCTGGCCTAAAACATTTAGTTTAAAAGTTTGATCTGAAGTACATAAAGTATCAATTCAAACGAGAAAAAACCCAATAAAAACTTCTAATATCTGTTACCAAAGAAACATCAACGGCACAAAAAAGCCTAACAGTTTTCAACATAATAATCACAACCATCATAAAAATACACAAGGTGAGAAGATAGAGCAATTCTGTTAGGCTCAACATAGAGAGACCTTCTGAAGGTGAAAATAAAATAAAATAGGCTACTTCACCTTTGCCTGAAATTCTTAATTAGAGACACATACCTTCACAAATCCAACTATTGATTGCATCCCTGAAAGTATGGTTCCATTGTTAAAGCATGGCCTTGCAAAGAAGATTCATTCCAAGGTCTTCACGCTTGGCAAGAACAAAGGATCAGGTCAGGATGGTAACTCAAATGCTTTCTTTCAAAAGTTTCTGGACGACATGGAAAGAGGCCTGCTTTCAATTTTTTCCTAGAAGATCCATAAGAGAAACAAACTACACTTTCTCTTCAATGATTACTTTATCATGTTAAAGCCTAATATGAAAGGAGCAAAAAATACTAAATTTTCATCCTTCATGCCTGACAAGAAGCTTGTACAAGTTCAACCCCTAGGTTGAAGACCATGCTCAAACATATCATCACCTTGGCAAGACACCATTGTAAGGATAGGGGTTTTCTTACTGGGGCCATGGTGATATATTCAATAATATAATTGTCGAGAGCAGGTGCAGAAACATGGTGTGTGGGCAAGAGTAGGGACCATCCCTAGCCTTAAGTTCCCTAGTTTGAAGCAGAGAATGCTTTTCCAAAAGCACCCAGTGCTTGTCCAAACAATACACTAAACTACACATACACATACATTATATATGTTGTGTGTGTTTATGTCCATATAGATTGTCTATACTTAACAACCCCTTAAAATATAAAGGACGTTAGTAGAGGAGGAAGAGATGGAGAAACTCAGGGAGAGATGGAAAGGTAGTGAGAAAGAGGTGAAAGAAGTGGTAACGTGGAATTTGAGGGAATAAAATCAAATATCTTCTCTTTGCTTTTATTAATATAACTGAATTTCATGTACAAGTGCCACAAAACAATGCTATAAATATATAAATCAGCACTATATACAACCTAGGATCTTTCTTTTTACTGCCAAATAAATACAACTCAATCCAAGGGCTGATACAAACTTTTATTGTGACTTCTAATACAAATAATGTTCCTGAAGATTGCAATAAAATAGCAATAATGACAGAAAAATAAACCAAGAATAGCCCGAAAGTCTTACTCGAGTTCACCTAGAGTTACCCCCTTAGGACTTGATACACCCCACACTTGATTACCTAACCAATGACACACTTTGATCCTATTGACCCTGCTGAATTCTCTGAGTCGAGAAACTCCTTAGGCAATACCTTTTTCATATATACGGTTTAAGAGAGCATAGGCTAGATCTAGGCTTTTCTTATAACCCTATAAAACTCTTAGGTCATGCCACAAGTTACCTCCCTTTTTTCTTTCAAGCACTGGGCGTACCCCCTCTCTTGCCTTTGGGTGGACATGCCACCTAAGTTTATATGGGCGGTGCATGCCACCTCTTAGAGAGAGAGACGAGAAAAACATATTGAGAAGAGAGGGGGGGGGAACTTATTCTGAAAAGGATTACCCTACATGTTCAGGCACTAGCATAAGTCAAGAAATGGTCTTTCATTTATCAGAAAAGGCCATCATTGACAACCTTCGGATAACTTGGCAGCAGCAGAGGGCTGAATCCTCTACTCCGGTTGCGTGGTCTCTTCCTGGGACTCATAATTATAAACTCAATATCGATGGTGCTTCATTGAGAAATCCAGGTTCAGCAAGTGGTGGTGGAATTATCAGGAACAATGCGAGCGGTTTTATTGCTGCTTTCGCAAAGTATTTTGGTTTACTTCTAATAATCATGCAGAATTCTTAGCATTTGAGGAAGGACTCCAATTGGTTATTCAAAGTAAATGTTTTCCAATTCAGATTGAAAGTGATTCGGCCCTGCTCGTGAATGTCATTCAGAATCGATACAATGCTCCATGGAGGCTAAAGGCGATTGTAGCTAATTGCTGCACCAAACTGTCCTCTAATCAATGGTCCATTACACATGTCTTTCGTGAGGCTAACATGGTTGTTGATGCCCTAGCTAAGAGGGCAGCTGCTAGCCCCGGTGCTACGGTCTGACGCCATAGACCACAAGATTTTCTTTCCTCTCTTTTATTATATGATCTGGCTCAATTGCCCTACCATAGGGTTGTACCTTAATTGTTTTTCTCTACTCTTTTATTAATGAAAAAACGGGTAGGGGGCCTCTTACCCCACTGACTTACCCAAAAACAAAAAGAGAAGGGGGAGAGAGAGAGAGACAAATAGAGGCGCTAATCAATCGAGTGGTTAGAATGAGGAGGGCTACGCTTCTTTTGTAGCTTCAAGGGTCCAAGTATGCCTATCTGAATTAGAATTCCTCTTGGTCATAAGACTCCTAGATAACGGTGAGAAAGAAACAAATATGAGTCATCCATCCTACAAATCAGCTATCATGATTTAGAGAGAAATCTAAAAACTTTATCCCCTGAATATTTGACCCACATCCACTTCTAATCAACCTAGTACATGCATTATGAGCTCTCTTCCTTAATTTCTTGAGTTTTAATAGGGCTATGACATAATCAGTGTAAGGGCTCTTGGGAGTCACTTTTCAGCGAGACGCTGCCCAATAGAGGACACATTCATCGGAAGATGTGTCCTCATGCCATCTATTGCGGCATCTGGAAAGAAAGAAATAATGGGACCTTTTCCAGTATCGATACTGTTGCATGTGGCTTAGATAATATGTTAGATATTTTGTGATCATCAAGCCCTTAGCTTCAAAAAATCTATTGGTTTTTAGTCTGGAATATGGTTGCTCGGAGAACCAACTTGGTGGATAACATAGTGCATTGTGGGCCACCAACTTGATGCGCAACTACCTAAACCTCAGTCCTTATATACTTTTCAAGAAAAATTAGGGCTGATTTTCCAATTTATCAAATTTGATGCACCAAAACATTCTTCGCAAAGGAGAACTCTATGTTAAAAAGTCTCCTTTATAAAAATGTGCAAGAGATCATCTCTGCATTGACTTATCCAAAAGAAAATGAAAAAATAGGACAGTTGATACGAGCCAGTACTCACATAACCTATGTAGCGCCTGTGGACATTCATGACCACGGGGAAAAAACAAAATACAGCTCTAATATTTCAAGGGCTCCATGGGGCTCTTCCTTGTCCATAACAATAAAATCGAAGGAAGAAATAAGAACAGAAATCCATAAAAAATCGTGACAGCGCACAATGATAGCAAACAAGCATGCATTTTCTTTCATTTCCAAATTAGAAACAACAAAGCAAGCCTCAAGATACTACTAAATGAAATAAGAAAATTTAAATTGGGTAAAGGATATACCTCAAAAATGGCAGTCTGAAATCATTTTCCCCGAAATTATTCAGCTCAAGAAAGAGAATCATGGGAAACATTTTTTCTTTTGGTTAGGTAACAATAATTCACTAATTAAAAAACAGATTTACAAGTATTTCAGTTCCATTTACAAAACTGAGTCCACAAATACAACAGATTCCTTTCTCTCAGTTCCCTTCTTTTGCTTGCTCCTCATTTCAGTCCTCTCCTTCACCAAGAATCTTTAATTTGGTCTACCAACCCCTCTGGGGTATTCACAGTCTCCTCTTTCTACTCTTTCTTTACTTCCTAATCTCTCCCCTAAACCCCTCCTCAACAAAATCTGGTCCTTGCTGGTACCTCTCAAAATTCAAGCTTTTCTCTAGGTGCTTAACTCTGGACCAACTTCAGCGAAGGGGTCTTTCCCTTCCCAACCATTGTATCAAGTGCCTCCATGAAGCGGAGACCATTCCCCACCTATTCATCCATTGTAAATTCTCATGTCCCTTTGGTCTTCTTTCCTTAAACTCTTCAGTCTCAACTGGGTAACTCCCCCTTCAATTGAAAACCTATTCAATGCTTTCCTCTCCCCTCCTTTTACAATAGCGGTAGTAAACTATGGCAAATATCTGTTGTGGCAACTCTTTGGGCCATTTGCCTCGAGAGGAACTCTAGAACCTTTTCGAGCTCTCTAAAGGCCTAATGTTCCATTTTTTACTCCTGCCTGGCTCAGATCTCCATTTGGGCAAAGCTCGTCCCAGTATTTGCTCCCCTAACAATCTCTCACTTTCTACCCAATTGGGAAGCCCTCTTGAACCTTGCAGCCCCATCTCCCAACACCAGAGTAAAAAGGATTCTCCCTTCACCTGGCTTTGTCAAACTTAACACAGATGGTTCTTCACTAGGTAACCCAGGGGCCTCAGGCATAGGTGATACCTGGTAAACTCAAATGGCATTTTCCTCTCCTTCTCAAACTCCACCACTGGGAAAGACTTGGCAATTCTAGAAGGTCTTAAGAGAGCCTCCATTGCTGAGCCTAACCAGCAAGGACTTATAGTTGAATCTGAATCAATTAATTCGACCCTCTAGGCTACTCAACTACAGCCTCCGCCTTGGTGGTTAACTTATATTTTTTAGCATATCACTTTCATTAGCATATCACTTTCATTCCCCTCAAGAGGCCAATTCTGAAGTAGATAGGTTTGTAAAAGGAGCTCGCCAACACTTGTTCTCACCCCACAGTTAATGGCAGACATCCACTGTTAGGTTCCCCTGTTTCCATGCCTCAGCAAGACACAGGTCATAGGTGCACATCCAGTTGCTTCTTTCGTCTTTCCCATCCTCAAGCCTCTTCTCCCCCTCTCCCGTTCTCTACCCCTTTATATTCTGCATCCTTCAACAAAAAAAAATTACTCTCTCTCTCTATCCCTTTAACTTCGTCAAACCTCCCTCTCTCTCTAAACTCCCTTTTAAAAAAAGGAGCTCCTGTCTCCCCCTACTCTCTTTCTCTTTCTATCCAACTCCTCCCTATTATTCTCTCTCTCCATCCTTAACTGCTCTACTCTTGCCTTACCTCCCTCTTTCTGCCCTATCAGCACTGAGAAGCTCATCGAAGACCCCGGGGAGCAGAAGATTGATCCAATTTTGAAGCCGACTCCATTCACAATGTTCATCCAATTCAACAGCACCTTTTCTTTTTGGCATGAAGCTCCTCTTTTCATCCCAGGAGACAGCCCATCACTAATATACATTTTGTTCCCGTTTCTCTATTTCTGCATATTTCTTCTTTCCACCCCCGCCTTATTCCCATATGGCAGGCCGTGCTTTTCATATCTAATGTATTTTCTTCTCTCCTCCCACTTATACCTAGAAAGTGGGCCGTGTTGATGTAACCCCAATTTTATATCTATGTTCTATAAATCCCAGTCTCTCTCTCAACCCCCACTTCAAATTTCCCTAAAATTTATTTTGCCCCATATGAAGTCTGAGCACCCAATTTGTGGGATGCCATCTCTTAATTTGATTGTAAAATTCAAAGTAAACATTCTCAAAAAAAAAAAAAGTACAAAATACAACAGATGCTACAAGCATGCCCACATGATCATTTAAACCAACAAGAGGTGATCAATCACTAGTTGCAAAAATTACTTTGGACTTGTACTGGCCGAAGAACAAGCGAAACAGAAAAATATTAAAACCTGAAACAAGAGCCCCAATAAATCTCCCTTGGAAAAGCCAAATCCACAGACAAAATAAATATCAGAAGAATAACATCAACAGTTTCCATTCCTCCATTGAAAAGCAAAGCTAGACTTGGCAGAAACTAATAACAATACCTGATAAAAAGAAAAGCCTGTCGCTCCCGATCCACGAACGAGCTCAATTCGGAGATAAGCGGAGGCGGCAGCAGCTGCTTTGTTTTCAATCGCACCTCCAAAACCAGGAGACAAATTTATTTGTAATTTTTTTTTTTACGTTTTACAATCACCTATATTCGGAAGCGTGCTCTGCTTCCACTCTTCTCTCCCCTTGCTCTATTTATTATTAATAATAAGAATGAGTAATGGAGAACTGAATCGCAGCATAGCGTAGCGTAGGTGAGGAAGAAGGCGTCTGAAAGAGGGTCATCAACCCAGTATTTTTCCTTTACCAGCCATGCTTTCCCATCTGAATCGTTTTATAGACTGCGGTTCAATTTAAGTTCGCCTCTTTTTCTGTCTTTCTTTTTCTTTTCTTTTTTTTTTCCGCTTTTTTTTTTTTGTTTTTTTGTTTTTTTGAGTTTTTCTGAAAATTTACATACAAATGGCTAGAAAAAGTAATTTAGAGCCGAGCTCTAAACAATCAAATTAAAGTCGACCTAAAATATTTCACTAAAAGAGGTTGTTTTGATGTCCAAATATCCTCAAATTGATCATCTCTACATCAAGATGAATGGACATGAGCAAAAAATGAATTTCAAATTGAAAAAAGTTTATATAAGGATGCTACATTATAATGTAGAACTACGGATGCCCCTCAAAAATCCATTGAAAAAGGTAATTTTAATGTTAAAAACCCTTTGATTGATCATCTCGACATCGAGATGTATAACTATGAAAAATAAAAAGATCTTAAGTCTAAAAAATAATGCATTTTACAACATATTATCTACACCGTCCATTTTCAATATTTTCATATGTTTATAGATCTACTTGATTTTAACCATTTTTTAAATTTAAAATTTTATAATTAGATATAAAAATAGATTTTAAAGTAATCCTAGTAACATTTTACATCAAAATTATATACCAGGATAAAATTTGAAGGGCACCTTACCTCTACACCTACGGAGGCATCCGTATGCAAATTGCACCATTTCAAGTTTTGAAAGAACGCATCTTGTAACGTATTTTTGGACTGTTCAAAATTTTCTAAGTTTTTATGGATTTGCTCTATCTACACTATTTTTTAAGCTTTAAATTTTATAATTAAATATAATTTTCAAGTTTTTATGGATCTGCTCGATCTACACTACTTTTTAAGCTTTAAATTTTATAATTAAATATACAAATATATTTTAAAGCTATCACAAAGATTTCCAGTATTGAAACCACATTTGTCCACACTATTTGAACTTGTGGTTTACTTTGATTGTTTAGAGCCTCAGGTCTATACAAACGGCACCCAAATAAGAATTGCATATTTTATATGTCACGCAAATTTTGCTTGTCATAATCCTTAATTTACCCTCAAACATCCCATGTCCTCATCGGCTCGTTTGTTTCTTAAGTGGGATATAAGCTCGGGTTGAGGTTGGCAACAGCCCAGGCCTACCTCGGGCCACTTTGGGCCCAAGCCCAATTCCTAATAGGGCCGAAGAGGCAAAGGCCCAAGATCGAAGTGGCCAGGCCCGGCCCTAGACCTATTAGGGCCAGACTGTGCCAAGATGGGCCAAATACAATAGAAGTTAACAAAAATAATAACAAAAAAGGGCTTGCCCAAGCTGAACCGGTTGCGCTTACTGTAGACTTGGCCCAGCCCCGACCCAGCCCTTACCTTAGATCATGAAGAGATTATCTAATTGTATTAGTGACTAGAATTGATTTCTTCTGTGTAATACTCATTGATAAGGCCTCATTGATAAGTACTACAAGATCTCGTGCATTGGAACCCATGGTTATGGATCCGAATCCGTTAGTATGAACATCTTTTCCAAATGCAATCCCCTAGTATATGAAAGAATGAAAAAGTGCTTTCGTTGTTGTGGAATGATAACCCTTTGTATTTTAATGCATTTATGTGATTTATTCGGAATTATTAGAGCGGGATCCACTTTTTGGGGAATATGAGTCGAAGCAATAACAAAAATATTTCTAGTGGAACATTTTTCAAAATCTCTGAAGAGATAGTTCACTAATCGACCAAGGGATAAGTAATTCAACTCGGGCTACATTATGTGGCCTAGGCCCTTGTTGTTTTAGCGTCAGGGCAACCAGGCTGAGGCGCGCCAACCAGCCCTGGCTTGCGTGTTCAAATCGCCCTACTTATGCTCCTTTTATTATTTTATTATTTTTTTTAAGTGAGTTAAATCGAACATAAAATGTTCAAACTCATTCCCTGATTAAATATTACATGCCCATATTTTTTTTAAGTAGGAGACCGGTTCAAGGTATCCAAACCAATCTCCCAATAAAAAAATGTAAGTGGGCGGGTGGACACACAATGTCCAAACCCACCGATTTTGATATTTTATTTTATTTTAAGATAAATTTTCCTAAAAATCCTATATATTTTGCAGTATTTACCAATATCCCTTATTTTTGCATTTTATGCTCATAACTAATCTTTTGGTCCTCTTTTTATTCTCTCAAAATACTCAAGTTACATAGCTTCAAGTTTCAAAGGGATGTCTTTTTCTTTCTTTCTTTTTTTCTTTTCTTTTTAATGAAAAATTTGTTCAAGAGTTAGAAATTCCAAGCCAATTTTCTGAAAATTAAGTGGTTAGCACTTGCTCACTCAAATACGCAAGTATTTTAGGTTCAAAACTTGAAATCCTGATCTACTTATTCACTCAAAATATCCATAAAGTGTCATCCATTTGGAACTTTAAGTTTCAAACTATGGACACTTGAATATTTTTTTAGTGAATAAGCAATTCGATGAGTGAATAAGCAATTCGAAATTTATGTTTTAAACTGCTTAACTGTCAAAAACAAATCATTTCAAAACTGGCGTCAATTTGGAACGTTCCGAGCCAATATATGCCAATTAGAGAAGAAAAAGGTATGAGTTCTGAAGGGGTATTTTGAGAAAAATAAAAAATTACAAAAACTTGGGACAAGAGTGTAAAATATGAAAAGTGGGAAATATCTTTTAAATACACCAATTAGACGTTTGTTGTAAAAACCTGCTCAATTGTGATTTTTTTAGCCATAGATGGATTTGGACTTTAGATCATCAAACCCGCCCACTTACAAAAGAAACATCTAAACTTGCCTTGTACTTGCGAAAAAAATAAATAATACCAATTCGGGGTAATTTTAAGGATAAAAAATGAAAAAGAAAACGGAACCTTTACATGATATATAAAATATGCCATCTTTTTTCCAAATATACATCTTATAATAGAACGGAAAAGTTTATATAGAGCCGTGGCTCTAAACAATCAAATTAGTGCCTACCTCAAAAATTTCATTAGAAGAGGTTGTTTTGATACCCAAATATCCTCAAATTGATCATCTTGACATCAAGATGCATGGACATGATAAAAAAATAGATTTCAAGTTTTGAAAATAATGTACTTTGTAATGCATTTTTGGACAGTCAATTTTCAATATTTTCAAGTTTGCATAGATCTCTCAATCTACACTATTTTTTAAACTTTAAAATTTATAAATAAAGATGAAAATATATTTTAAGGCTATCAAAAGTATTTCCAACAATGAAACCACATTTCTCGACATTTGAAGGTGGACTCTAATTTGATTGTTTAGAGCCTAGGCTTTATACAAACCACACCCATAATAGAATTTATATGAAAAATTCTCTAATTTTTTAGAAAAACATCATTGAACCGCGCTCATTTTTTCACTATTTACATTCCCTTTCTTCTCACCAATTTGAAATGCCCCATCAAAGTACACATCAAGTAGCATACGTGGAGTGAAATGTTTGTTTTATTAAGTACAAATGTCTTACTTGGCAATTTCTTAGAATGTTGGTATTCAAAAACATTAATATCTCACAAGGTGATTTATTTAATGAAATGTCCATCGTAAAAAATACTAATCTCTCTCATAGGTGATTTTCCTAACGTTTTTAAAAAGCACTTCTGTTGAGGCGCAAATTTAAAAAGTGGTATTCCAATAATTTATAACCCAGTATATGTGAGGGCTTTTTAATATTATAATGAAAAGGATGAAATCATAAATAGTGCATTGCATTATCTATCACCCGCAAGTGCTTATTTCTTTGATATTCATTAAGCTCATAGTATTAAATGATCATCATCAGAGCATTTTTCTAACTATTTGAGATCAGCTACATGAATATTGGTATATCATTCAGCTTTATCAAAGACCATACGACCATAACTCCCCATATCTTTTTTCACTACTTTCAACCATGTCCTTTTGGGCATATCTATTGCCATTTTATAGCCTTCCACTTGAACTAACTCATACCTCCTAACAAGTGATATACTAGGTATGTACTGCACATGGCCAACCCCACCTAAATCTACCTTATCTCATCGTATCGTCTTTTAAAGCCATACCTAAGTTCTCCTAAATGTATTAATTTTGAATTCTATCCCTTATTGTCGTACAACTCATCCATCTCAATATCTTCATCTCAGCTACACTCGTCTATGTATATGTTGTTTCTTAACCACTCAATATTCTATACCATAAAGTAAAGGTAGTCTTATATGTGTCGTATACAACTTGTCATTCGGCTTTATTAGTATGCGACGATCACATAAAACTCGGATTGCACATCTCCACTTTGCCCACCCAGCTCTAATTCTATGTGTGATATCTTTCTTAATCTTTTTGTTTTCCTGGATTATTGACCTAATATATCGAAAGTGTACTCTTTTTGGTATTTCGTGGCCCTTAATCGTACCTACTTCATCGTCTCTACTCCTATTATTACTAAACTTGCATTCCACATACACTGTCTTAGTTCGATTAATTTTAAAACCGTTAGATTCTAGAGCATCCCTCCAAAGTTCTAGCTTTGTGTTGACGCCGCCTCAGGTCTCATCGATCAAAACTATGTCGTCTGTGAATAACATACATCACAATACCTCATCTTGTCGGTGCCTAGTTAAGTTGTTTTAACTAAGACAAAGAGGTATGGGCTCAACGTTGACGCCTGATGTTAGACCTATTGTCACTGGAAGCTCACTCATCTCTCCATTAGTTATTCGCACACTAGTTAGCGCTCCCTCATACATATCGCCCACCATGTCGAAGAAGTATCTGGAGACTCCTTTTTTGCCCAACACTCACCAAATTAAAATCTTGAGGTACTCTATAATAATGTGGAGGTCTTTTCTCTTCGCACTAAACTTTTTAATATGTTGCGTAAGCAGGAAAATAACTTCAATTGTTGACCTCCCCGGCATAAAACTAAATTGATTTTCTAATATCCATGTTTCATGCCTTAGTC